TACTTTCCTAACTAGACTACCTGACCCAATTAAATTTATTATTTGAATTTGTTAGGCTGCAATATTATATTTCAACCACTGCTTATTGATAAATAAAGGGAATATAATATTATATCCAATGATGTATGTTTGGGTTAAGAGGGGACAGCCAAATGATGCCCCATTGTTCATTCATAACAGAACACAAGCTTGAAGGTCCAAAATTTCAACTGATTAACATGGAATTGATAAAATTCCGTAGAAAAATATGACTGCAGGCTGTCATTTGTACAACGGCTGGATAGAATGTTTTCGTGGCATGTTTAAAACGTGTATTTATTTCCAACTATATTAAATTACTGTAAATTCACGCTGGGGCCACGCATAAGGCTAGATAATCCATTCAATTTTTGATCAATTCCTATATAGTTATAAAGACAGTTCCAAGAAAGATGCATAAACCCATTTTTAGAAATAATGCCAGAAGAGCAAAAAGAAGAATTAAATTGCTGACAGTTGGATATTTCAATGCCTTGGAGCAGACGGCATCTGTTGATGAAGTATATTAAATATAGTCAAAGTGGGCAAAGTGGCTACACAAAATGGATTTTCATAGATAATAGATCATAGAATCCCTAAAGTGTAGAAACAGGCCCTTCGGCCCAACAAGTCCACACCAACCCTCAGAGCATCCCACCCAGACCCATCCCCCTGTAACCCACCTAATCTACACATCCCTGAATACTACGGGCAATTTAGCATAGCCAAACCACCTAGCCTGCACATCTTAGGACTGTGGGAGGAAACCAGAGCACCTGGAGGAAACCCACACAGACATGGGGAGAATGTGCAAACTCCACACAGTCACCCGAGGGTGGAATCGAACCCAGGTCCCTGGTGTTGTGAGGCAGCAGTGCTGCCCATTATTTAATACAACAAACTCCAACCTCAATTTTTTTTTATTGTAAATTATCAGTGCAGTGTATTAGTATTGATACATTAAATGAGGAAAATTGTTGGCCTGTACAATATGTTCATTTAATTTTTTTTGGAAGTATGGTGCATTGAAAAATCAATGATAAAGTTGATGCAATTAAGGAAGCAAATAGTTGAACTTGCATTAGAGCACAAAACCTAACGTTCTATGGAAAATCATCACGTAATGTTTTGTAGGGGCCAATCTCCATATTGCTTTCGCTTTTCAATATTTGTATTGAGGCAATAGTAAAAATTCTTTGTCATTGCTAAAGAAATTATTTACAGACAATTTTAGTAAGTCCAACAATGAAGTCTTATGAAAGAAATGAGTATTTCTGGCTTTCTACTACTATGTTTCATTGTGGTTTGGATACACTATAATAACGTTCAAAAACATTCCAACTTTAATTTAGACAAAAGGCCCAAAGCATATCACAGATGACGAAAATCATGGCTGCTGGGGAGGTGACCAAAAACTTGACGAGAAAATTGGATTTAAAGGAGGCTTTTCAAGCTGGAGAGAGAAGTAAAAAAGTGCAGTCCTTTTTTTAAAAAGTGAATTCCAAACAGTTGACATGAGACACATTGCAACTGAGTACTTATTGATATGAACTGATTAGAGAACCAGCATGTATTTGCAAAGGCCAAGTTAGATAAACAGTGTGCTAATGAATGTTATTTATATAGACTTCAGAGTAATTTGGTAAGGTTTCACACAGAAAACCATGAGTAAATTTAAAAGCACATGGAATTAGCGGCAACCTTTTGACATGGTCTGGATTTGGTTCAGAAATAAGAGATGGTCATGAGGAATTATGTGTATGCACTTAGATTGGAAATATACAATTAATTGTTTTCTCACAGGAAGCCGAACTGGTGCCTCAGCTTTTCACTACATTTACAAATGGCTATTTTGAAGGCAGTGTTGTATTTCAAAGCTGTTGAGTACAATATCAGCTAGCGTATTCAGTAATATAGATAGTAGCAGAAAGTTGTAAGGGCACATTGGCATACCTATGACTGAAAAGGAAGATTTTATTGACACTTCTGGTATTTCATTTATCAGGTATGCCAAATTTAATACTATCTCATAAAAATGAATGTTTAAACGAATAGGTCCCCGCATTTAAGGTAGGCTGTCTTGTGCTCTCTTTGAGTTACTTGGGAGTTTGAAGAGCCTAATATGCCCTATTGTTTGCTCCATAGCCACGCGCTAGTGAGCAAGAAGCAACTTGCCAGCCAATTTACATCCTTTCCCCTTGTCATATAAATGACTGAGATTCTTTATAATTTGGTATGCTTTTGATTAGTCTGCAAAGTGCAAACAAAAGGCTTTCGCAACATGTCCATCTTTTCAGCAATATACAGGTCTGTACTCCCACAATAAGTGAATGATTAAATTGTGTAAGGCAGGGTTCTACATGGGCAACTGCAAGATTATCTATTCTGAACCTAAGAGAGATATTTACTAAATGATTTCAAGCTGTGGAGGGCAAGGAAATTTTGTGACATATTTAAAGATATCACTAAAAATTAAGGGACTGTTAAGTAATTAATTTAAAAGGAAAGAAATGTTGGCTTTCATCTGTGATGAACTGGAATCCAAAGAGGTAGAAAACACAGAATCCCACAAGTAACCTTTGAAGGTCCACTTATCCACTTAACCCAAAGCAATTTGAATCTTTCAATAGCCTTTCCTCTCGATCACTACATTTCAGCAATTGCAGTAAGTTACAACACAAAAATCAACTGATAAGACCCACTGCTCTAACTCAAAATGACCAATTATTAAGCAAGATGACAAGAAATTCTTTATTAACTTTTTGATTGATTCTTACAATTTCCGAGCCAGATTGGGATAGTTGATCTTTTACTGTTAGTACCACTTCACTTTGTTTTCCCTTTATTCTTTCACAGGATATGGATGTCAGTGCCAAGACCAGCATTTCCTACTTTTCCTGATTACCTTTGAACTACTAAGTCATTAAAGGCTTAACCACACTGCTGTTGGTCTGGAATCACATGTAGACCAGACCAGGTAACAATAGCAGATTTCTTTTCCTAAAGGAAGGAAATAATCTCTGAATAGAATACATCAAGGTTTTTACAACAATCAATGATGGTTGACATTGAACAGAATTGAATTGAATGATTTATGGTCACTTGCATTTTACAGTGAATGATACAGTAAAATACAGTGAAAAACTTCAACTGTCACCACAATCCAGCACTGTGGTCACCATTAGAGAGACTAAGTTTTTACCCTCGATTTATTAATTGAATTGAAGTTGTAGCAGCTGCTATGATGGGATTTGAACCAATGTCCCCACACCATTAACATGGGCCTCTGGATTACCAATCCAATGATATTACTACTCTGCCATTATCTCCCTATTGACAGCAGACCCCACATGGAATTAGGACTTGAGCAGAGCCTAGCATAATAATAATAAAATGTTCCTTTCATCACTGGTAAAAAAAACTGATTTTTTTCAAATAACTTTCGAAACAAGAGAACATAAAAATTAATTCAGAGATAGTAGGAACTGCAAATGCTGGAGAATCTGAGATAACAAGGTGTAGAGCTGGATGAACACAGCAGGCCAAGCAGCATCAGAGGAGCAGGAAAGCTGACGTTTCGGGTCTAGACCCTTCTTCAGAAAT